GAGCACAAGGATGGAACTGACCATCTTTGTGTGCATCTCGACTTTTAGATATCCGTGCTTATTGTTTTTATAACAGGCGAGTTGCTCGATCGCTGATCAAGGCTGAAAGAAAATTATCAGAGATTGATGTTTCCTACCTTCTCGAAATCAGGATCTACAATTATTAGGAAATTTCTTCGGAAAAAAACGTTTTCAACTTATACGGGTATTTCTTTGATGTAAAAATTATTGTACCGTGATTTGTTTAGCACACCGTATGGACTCCGACGCATGTGAAAAATAACAACAATTCGGATAATGAACTACCCGAAGCTAATTGAGCTGAACTCTCAAATGAAAGCCTACCCATTTCTTTCGATGAACCGGTTGACGTGGAAGAAGCTCAACTCAGAGAAATTGTTTCTGGATGTCTTTATCCGGATGGGTTTATCCGCTGGAACGTCCACAGGAAACCAACTAGGATAGGACAAAATTTGAATAGTTTTGCACTGCCTGCACTGTGTGAAACACCATTGGCGTAGACGTGACGTTTCACTGAAGTTGAAATTTTGTGTATATTGTGCTAGCGTTCGTTCAGTCCTGCTTTATGGTTGTGAGACCTTGAATTTGCGAGTAGAAGATATCCATCGATTAGGAGTTTTCGATTATCGGTGTTTACGCAGTTTAGCCTATGTAGGATGGAGCGAACGGCTTAGTAATCTGGAGGTATGCCGTCGTGTGCTTGGGAGTCTATCAGGGTTAAACTTGCTAGCACATTGAATTCAGATTAGTGGACTTCACGGGTTAGGACACATTGCGCATGCCCAGCTGTCGTCTACCGCACCGCGCTTTATTCATTGTAGCCTCTCCGAACTGGAGGTAAACAGATGACAACGAAACGAGGCACAAAGAAATGCACAGAGCCATTAGGTAAAGTAGCTGTCGCGCGCCTTCCAGGTTGGGGTCCGAAAGACTCCGCAACTGGTTGGTTGGAGACACTGAAGGATATGACAGCGAACCGACAGCAGTGACGTTATTGTTGTCATTTCTTATCAGACGAAAATGCTTGAGATGTTATGGATGCAGAGTTCGACTTTGTACTCTGAGTGTTTAGCTTCGTCTCCCTCCCTAAAGATAGGACCAATCACTGCCCACCTTCAATATTACCACTAACCCTACAATCATTGCGAGTTTGGCAGTGGTGAGTGAAGTTCGCCTCACTGTATTTCGCTGTACGATGACGATGACAGTTTTGCACCAATCAAACAAAAGCGAAACTTGGTTCATTGTCTAGCGAGATGACCACAGAGTATCTGCACTCCGGACACCCTAATCGACGGAAGCAAATGAGGAAAATTACGAGAAAAGGGCTATCCGGATCGCTTCCTTGACAAACACCTAACAGAAACAACGGAGAAACCAGAAGTGAGTAGAGTAAGCATAAAACCCCTGTAACAGCAATTACCGTACAAGGGCGACCAGGCGGTGGCGGACTGGGTGACAAGAACAGTAAACCAAACGCTAAGGAGAGTATTGAGATACGGTAGCGCTAGGTATCAGTTTCCCCACATCGCCTGCAATTTGTTTCCATCTCAACGATAGATCGTCCCCTCAGGCCACATACATGTGCA